GCAAGGCAGAAACGAGCTCGCTGATGAAGCTGCCCCCACCTGCGTTGAGGCTGGCCAGGCCGTCCGTGACAGCTGTCTCATCGTCGGCGGGGTAGATTTGAAACATCAACTGCATCCACAGCCCCTGCAACGTCGTGAGGCGCCTCGCTGGAAGGCCAGACTGGAAATCGGAGTTCAGGCGCTTCGCCGTGTACACGTGGATCTGGTCCGTGGACAGACCGAGGACCGCGCCGAACGCGCCCTTGATCGCGTCCCACTGCAAATTTCCTGCGGCCCACTCGGTGGTGAGGCCCGAGTCCAAGCTGCTCTCGACGAGCGCCACTTCCACGACAAGACCCACTGCAGAGTCGAGAGCCTCTATGTCCGCAGTCGGCATGCAGACCAGTGGGACCATGTCGAAAACGCCCCTCGTGCATCTGATGGGAGCGAGGAGCTCGTATGACGAGTTGCACACGGGCGAGCAATTTGCTCCGCTGGCGATGTCGACGCAGGACGAGCTGTCGACCACGTTCGGAATGAATGGTACCTTGTCCGCGTAACAAGCCTTCTCTGTGCACACTCCAGTGGTGTTGACCCAGTCGTAGGCCGTCGTAGCCGTGCACTCGATCAGGATATGGTTCGCCAAATTTTCATAGCCATCGTACTCCGAGCACGAAACGTCACACGTCTGCGTGTAGTTCCGGTCGGAACAGCCCGCTCCCACGCCGTCGTAGCCGACTGGCATCTTTAAGGCAGGGCGTCCCACGCAAACGTTGGGCTCGCACCTGGCGGTTCCCTGCCACTCCCCGTCTATGAGGACCGTCCCGTTCTCGGGGACGGTGCTGCAAAGAAGCGTTTCTGCCACATGGTATCCAGGTGCGCAGACTGGAGTGCACGTGTCGCCCCATTTGAAGCCTGTGCATTCGATGCGGAGAAGGTCGGGCAATGGGCCAACGACCTGAAAGTTGGGTCCCGCAATCCCTATGGGCACGGGGTCGACGTCGGGCCATGGACACACGCAGCACGTCGTGGACGACGTCGACGTGTGGGTCGCCGTGGTGTGCATCCACAGCTCCACGACAGGATCGCTAGCGTACCGTAGACGATGCGACGACATGATGCCCAGGTTAACCAACGTTGCCGCAATCGCTGCGGAGAAGTCGGCCGCGCCCGCCATGTCATTCAGCGCGGCCAGGGCGCTCTGGGTGTCCTCGTAGTCCGTCCCCTCCACTTCGACACGGTAGTCTACATGCCACAACGTGGAGTCCGAGGTGAACTTCCTCTCCGGGCCAAGAAGGCGTCGTTCGGTGACCTCGTACACGCCGTCTATGGCGATGAGAGAGTCACTGGTCTCCAAGTACAGCGCGATGGAGGCCTTCGCGACGCTCTCCATCTCGGTCTGAGTGACCGTGGGGTCCAACGCGACCCCTAACTCGGCCACAACCATGGAGAACCGCCTCGGGGTGGCCGTCCCTGTGGTCATGGACGTCGAAGTAGCGGAGTCCGTGGTGCTGCTCACGGTGGTCGTCGTGAGCGACGTAGTGATGGTGGTCCGCGTCAGAGTCGTGGTGCTGGACGCTGAGGTAGTATGGAACGACGTCGTTGACGTGCCCGTGGAGGTAAAAGTGAAACTGTCTGAGGTTGTCGAAGTGCCTGTGGTCATATGGGTCATGGTTGTTGTCGACGTATCCGTGAGCGTGCCAGTGGTGGTGGAGGTCACGGATGTCGAGATGGTTGTGCTCGAGGACCAAGGAAAAGAGGTATAAGAGGTCGAGGAGACGGTTGACGAGTCAGTAGCAGTAGTTGTGGATGTCCTGGAGACTGTCGCCGTTATGGTGGATGTACCAGAGGCCGAGGTACGCGTCGACGTGAAGGTGGCGGTGGTCGTGGACGTCCCCGAAATCGAGCTTCCTGTCGTCACAGTGGTGCTGCTGGTTCCGCTCGTGCTGGTCACAGTGGTGCTGCTGGTGGTACTGGTGCTGCTGACAGTGGTGCTGCTGGTGCCAGTCGTGCTAGTCACAGTGGTGCTGGTGGTGGCACTGATGGTGCTGCGCGTGCTGCTGCTGGTCCCGGTCGTACTGGTCACAGTGGTGCTGCTGGTTGCGCTGGTACTGCTGACAGTGGTGCTGCTGGTGCCGCTCGTGCTGGTCACAGTGGTGCTGCTGGTTGCGCTCGTGCTGGTCACAGTTGTGCTGCTGGTGGCACTGGTGTTGCTCACGATGGTGCTGCTGATGCCAGTCGTGCTGGTCACAGTGGTGCTGCTGGTGGTGCTGATGGTGCTGCGCGTGGTGCTACTGGTCCCAGTCGTGCTGGTCAAAGTGGTGCTGGTGGTGGCACTGATAGTGCTGCGCGTGCTGCTGCTGGTCCCGGTCGTACTGGTCACAGTGGTGGTGCTGGTTGCGCTGGTACTGCTGACAGTGCTGCTGCTGGTGCCGCTCGTGCTGGTCACTGTGGTGCTGCTGGTTGCGCTCGAGCTGGTCACAGTGGTGCTGCTGGTGGCACTGGTGCTGCTCACAGTGGTGCTGCTGGTCCCAGTCGTGCTGGTCACAGTGGTGCTGCTGGTTGCGCTCGTGCTGGTCACAGTGGTGCTGCTGGTGGCACTTGTAGTAGAAGACCTCGTTGCGCTGCTCGTTTCCGTCGTACTGGTCCGCGACGTCGTGCTAGACTGTGTTGTGGTGGAAGCCGTGGTGCTGCTCGTTTCTGTGCTGCTTGTCCGAGACGTCGTGCTCGATTCCGTCGTTGTGGACTCTGTGGTACTGCTGGTTTCCGTAGTGCTGCTCCGCGACGTAGTGCTCGTCTCCGTCGTGCTGGACCCCGTGGTACTGCTCGACTCCGTAGTGGTGGACCGGGTGGTACTGCTTGAGTCCGTTGTGCTGGTCCGCGACGTGGTACTCGACTCCGTCGTTGTGGACACAGTGGTGCTGCTCGACTCTGTCTTGCTGGTGCGCGACGTGGTGCTCGACTCCGTCGTGGTGGACACCGTGGTGCTGCTCGTTTCCGTGGTGCTGGTCCGCGACGTGCTGCTAGACTCCGACGTGGTGGACACCGTGGTAGTGCTCGATTCGGTAGTGCTTGTTCGCGAAAAGGTGCTGGATGCCGTGGTGGTGGACCCTGTTGTGCTGCTCGTCTCCGTGGTGCTGGTCCGCGAAGTCGTGCTCGAATCCGTGGTGCTGGACACCGTGGTACTGCTCGACTCGGTAGTCGTGGACCCTGTGGTGCTGCTCGATTGCGTGGTGCTGGTCTGCGACGCGGTGCTCGAGTCCGTAGTAGAAGACCTCGTGGAGCTGCTCGTTTCTGTGGTGCTGGATCTCGACGTGGTGCTTGACTGTGTTGCGGTAGACACCGTTGTGCTGCTCGTCCCTGTAGTGCTGGTCTGCGACGTCGTGCTGGACTCTGTGGTAGTCGACCTCGTAGTGCTGCTCGTTGCCGAAGTGCTGGTCCGCGACGTAGTGCTCGACGCCGTCGTGGTGGAAACCGTGGTGCTGCTCGTTTCCGTGGTGCTTGTCCGCGACGTGGTGCTGGATGCCGTAGTGGTGGATGCCGTTGTGCTGCTGGTATCCGTAGTGCTGGTCCGCGACGTGAAACTCGACTCCGTGATGGTGGACCCCGTGGTACTGCTCGACTCCGTCGTTGTGGACGCAGTGGTGCTGCTCGACTCTGTCTTGCTGGTGCGCGACGTGGTGCTCGACTCCGTGGTGGTGGACCCCGTGCTACTGCTTGTTCCCGTAATACTTGTTCTGGATGTCGTGCTGGACTCCGTTGTGGTGGACGCCGTGGTAGTGCTCGTCTCCGTAGTGCTAGTCCATGACGCGGTGCTCGATCCCGTTGTGGACGACCCGGTGATACTACTCGTTTCTGTAGAGCTGGTCCGAGACGTCGTGCTTGTCCCCGTAATAGTGGACACCGTGGTGCTGCTCGTTACCGTAGTGCTCGTCCGCGACATCGTGCTCGAGTTCGTGGTGGCGGACACGGTGGTACTGCTGGTTTCGGTGGTGCTCGTCCGCGATGACGTGCTCGACCCTGTCATCGTGGACCCCGTGGTACTGCTGGTCCCCGTAGTGATGGACCCAGTGGTACTGCTCGTTTCCGTAGTGCTTGACCGCGATGTGGTGCTCGACTCAGTAGTAGAAGATCTCGTTGTGCTACTGGTGTCCGTAGTGCTAGATTGCGAAGAACTGCTCGACTCCGTAGTGGAAGACCTTGTTGTACTGCTGGTTTCCGTCGTGCTTGACCGCGACGTCGTGCTAGAATCCGTGCTGGTGGAAATTGTTGTGCTACTCGTTTCTGTAATGCTTGTCCGCGATGTTGTGCTAGAATCCGTCATCGTGGAACCCGTAATGCTGCTCGTTTCCGTGGAGGTGGACCCCGTGGTACTGCTTGATTCCGTAGTGCTGGTCCACGACGTGGTACTCGACTCCGTCGTGGTGGACGGTGGACACCGTGGTGCTGCTTGTTTCGGTGGTGCTGGTCCGCGACGTGCTGCTAGACTCCGTCGTGGTGGACACCGTGGTGCTGCTCGTTTCCGTGGTGCTGGTCCGCGACGTGCTACTAGACTCCGACGTGGTAGACACCGTTGTAGTGCTCGATTCGGTAGTGCTTGTTCGCGAAAAGGTGCTGGATGCCGTGGTGGTGGACCCTGTTATACTGCTCGTCTCCGTGGTGCTGGTCCGCGAAGTCGTGCTCGAATCCGTGGTGCTGGACACCGTGGTACTGCTCGACTCGGTAGTCGTGGACCCTGTGGTGCTGCTCGATTGCGTGGTGCTGGTCTGCGACGCGGTGCTCGAGTCCG